CCACCGCTCCGCCCCTCTGCCCATCCACTCATTCCTCCCACCACACAAGAGCGCCAAGGAACCTGTGGGGTCTTTGATTGACACAGCAAGGGGAACCCCAGCGGGGACACTGCCAGGGACCTTACAAACCCTTCTATATGGCCTTTCTGCTTTTATAGAAAACCACTTGCTCTGACATTTTTCAACAGTTTCAGCTGCTTAAAATGACATAAGTCTGGGAGCAGCAGAAATAGCTTGTTATTGTGTGAACTGGACTGTTTTAACAATACCCCACAGCTTTCCGGATAAACTTTGCAGTTAACTTAAGGAGAAAAATCAGAAAAACTGAAGGCAGGACATCTCCCTACCAAAAAGACTGGATACCCCCCAACAGTACAAATGTACATGCAGTGCAGACATCCATCTGGAAAATGACACCCCCCCCCCCACCTCCTCTTCCTTCAACTTCAACTTCCTTCAAATAACCCTTCACTGTGTCACTTCTGGTTTGTGCCTGTTCAAAAAAGTAAAAACTTCGGACTATCTGATTATCAAAGGGCGTCTATTATGCGTAGAATGTGGAGTTTAGAATAGAATATGGAGTTCTTACTAGAGACATTTATTAAAAAGCATACCAACGGGAAATACAGGAAAAGGAAATAAAGAAGACTGATAGGTAAATTGTCATTGCCTTCTAAATATATGTTTGATGATTCATTTAATAGCTTTCTAGCTATTTAGTTCCTTTCATTAGCAATAGCTCACTCAATGCTCTTAAAAATCCAGTTTTCATTTGTCTTATTAAACTGCATGTGACGTAATCACTGCCAGTAACTCAGATGATTTCCAGCCGCGCTGTTCCAGGCACTGTTACACCTTCCCTCCGCTGCAGCCTTTTTAAAGAAGGGATTCTTTTCAAGTTCGACGGAAGCACAAGAGGGAGGTAAGATTTTATTCTAGAACGGCGGTGAGGGCGTGAATTATAAACACTGCGATGTCGCGCACAGTCTAACCTTAGGCTTTCTGTCCCCGCCCCCTTTTGGGTTTTTGGAGGTGCTGATTGGATGAGATATTTACACCTTTATGAATAATTAAGTAACAGGAAAGGATTCTCCACGGTTATTGGACCAAGGAGCTGTTTCCTGCTACTGGGGTTAGGTTGTCTCCAATGCTGGCAGAGGAAATACTTAACAACAGCGATTTTTCAGCAGCCATCGAGTTTGGGAAAGTTAGAGGAAAAACTGAAAAGCGAAGTTAGGGAATAAGGCAAACTGTTAGCACTTCAGACTGATTCTGTCCTTTATAAAAAGATTACTTCTCGCTTTTAGCATTTCTGTGAGGAAACAGTTACGGGACCTTGATTTTTCAAGAGGACCTCCAGTGAGAAATCAGGTAAGGGGCTCTTGTGTAATTGTTACGATTTGGCCAGTTTTTTTTAAAAAAAACCCTTGTTTATAACAACAAACCCGTAATCTCGGATTAAGGTCTGCTTCGCGTATGACGGGTTTTCTGCATTGAAGATGAGGGATGTGTAAAGATTTAAAAGCCACACGCTTTTGCATGACTCACACCAGACGAGTCAGAAACACAGAAGCGCAAAAAGCGGACCGCTCGGCGAGAGACCCGGGGATGCGCGTTTCCAAACCTGAGCGAAAGCGAAAGAAATGGCCAACGTCGTTGATTTGAAAAAGCACGTTTTTTTTTGTGTTTGTCCCCACCCCCTCTCTCGATTGAGATTTTATTGATTTTCCCCGTGTCTGGCTGCAGTGCGATAATTTCAAGGGAGGTGAGCCCAGCAAGGCGACAGTGGCGTGTTTCTGAGCGCTTACCTGCGCGTACGAGTGAACCCCCACACCTGGCGAGCTTGTTCCGATATGAGCTGTCTGTAGTCTCATCAATGGAAATGCCTGTTCTGGGTGAATGCCCACTTTCAAAATTACTCCGTAAAGATCCCCCTCATTTGAAATTTAAAACCCCTCAAGGCTCGATAAATGAGAAGTCATTCCACATGTCATGGTGTGTACTGTAACCGGCATTCAGCCAAGTCGGTGCCAAGACCCGGGGAGTTTTTATATTACCATATACTAGAACTGCGTTGAAGAGATTCCGGAACTGAATGGGGTTCCGGCACCCTGATTGGGGGAAAAAAAAGAAATATGATGAGATATATGTTTTTTTGAAATGATAAAGGGTAAGTTTCAGTTCATCTTTCAAGTTGTCCGCGTAAAACCGTGTTTTTCGTGAGGAAGTCTGCAGAAGTGGGTTTAGCTTAATTGACGATTTTCTTTGCACGAACACTTGTGTGTGTGTGTGGATAAATATTAAACACATTTCCTGGTAGAGAAGAGGCGAGCTCAAAGAACAGTCCGACAGGTCGGAGAGTTTTCTGTTCACTTGTGATTCATCTGTTAGCATTACGCAATGCTTTTGCAGCGAAAGAGAACAGTCGGTGTCAGATCGACTTCCTCGCTGGGCTAAATCGAGCTTCGTTCTCGCTTGCTGTGGTGAACGGTTCCGATGACATTAAAAGGCTATATATTTTTTTTTAGTAATCAAAGTTACAAAGTAACACCTTCAGAAACGTTTTGGAATTCTGGCTTTCATTTTTACGCGCAGAACGGAGGTGAGATCATGACTAATGCTTAAGAAAAACTCACTTTCCTTCATCCACCAGGAGTTCAAAAGGGCTGGTTGTTGATTATTTCGACACCCCTGCTAAAACCCTAAAAATAAAAGGACGGTCACTTAACGTCTACGTTTATTTTTGGTTATGCAACCAAATAGTTTAGGTAAGGCTTTGTCTTCTGTGTTTTGGTTGGTTAGAGATCCATACCCGTTCTTTAGTACTTGCAAACTGTAAGAAACCGGATTTATGTTTTGCAGAGGTGAGGTGACGCCTTTGAACCGTGTGCGTAGTTTCACGGTGCTTTGGGTCAGCTCTGATTTTTGGAGGAGGCTGAGACGAGCAAATCGATCGCAGTTCTTCAGCTTTAAAGACGCGCTCGTTTCCACGGCCTGAGCATGTGTTGTGGTAGCTCGATAAATGAGGTGCTAGGTTCGGCCCTTTGAAGTGGCTGGGAAGGGGAACTCTGCCTTACACCTAAGCTCGCTGTGATCAGCACAGGTACCTGCTCGCCGGCTCGGGTGGATGTACACGCGAGTAGGCTTCATGACAGGCTTGGGAATTTCCTCTCTGGCAGCCTGAAGCACGTAGCTGAAGGTCGAGAATTTTTCTTTTACCAGAGAATGGAACTGTAGCGGAGGTTTGGAAAAGCTGGGGGGGGTCCTTTGCACCCGATCTCCGTGCTGCAGGGTGGCCAGTCTCCACTCGTGAGCGTTGCCGTGCTTGAGCAACGAGTCGTCCATTGACACGGGTGATAGTGAGTGGGTGTGTGTGTTGGGGTGGGATACTTCCACTTGCCGTTCAAGAAATGACTTGGGCTTAGAGTCTGCGCAGATCCCACTCTTTTAGCATAAAGCATGGTCTGAGTTTTCCCAGATTTCCACTTTTGGTGCTCTCGCTCTGCATCAGGCATGTAAGACGCTTGGAGAAAGTGGGCTCGTTGAAGTCTGCAGGGCTTGATAAAGGTTTCTCTCCGCCTGGTGGGCGGCCAGTACTCGCTGATCAGTATGTGATCAGTATTTTGTCGATGTTGTCTTACACAGGAAGCTGTTTGTATTGATGAGGTCTAAATGAGCATTCTGTTAACCACTGCCTTCCTTTGCTCTGGTGTGGGCATTCCACTCAACATCTCTTCAGCACTGCACACTCTCAAAGATGTGCTGTTCTTTTGTGATGCCCGTTTAAGTGCTACTTGACTGAGCTACAGAGCTTAGACTGCATTTTAAATTCAGGTGTTGCGATGGCTTGGTCTTTTTGCCCTTCAGCTCGTAACCATGAAGGATCAGTAAAGGATTATACTAGAGGTGTGTTTCATAATGTCTTCATCAGCCTGACATTTTGTTTCCAATATTCTGTGGTTTATCAATGACTTCACCTGTAATCGCCCCTGCATCCCTGTCTCTTCCTCTTTCTTCTCAGCTCTCATCTTCTCCCACTCCCACGCCTCCTTGGTGAAGTGGACTGTGTGCTTAAATGCACCCTTGTTTGAACCTGTCAGCTGTTCCACCACTATCCGAGTGCTTAAGTAGTGCTTTAAAAGTGAATTTTGCCAGCTGAAGCAGAAGGGCCCTACTCTGTTAGCTGAGTGAATAGATGCATGGAAAAGGTTTCTTGCTAACATCCTGCAAGGATGAGGTAGATCTTGGCTCAAAATCAGTTGTGCTAATAATGAAAAAGAACTATTCTCTTTGAAATTATTTAAATATATGAAGCCAAAGTCTTTTGTCAAGATGTCAAGTGTCAGGTTTTATGTCAACAAACTAGCAAACATGGGTTCCTAAACGAAGCACCAGGACCCCAAGTGGTTTGTGGTCACTGTTGCAGTGGAACACATGTTCTGTTGGGTCACATTATGGTACGGAGGCAGGATTGAGCCTCCCTTTCCTGCTTGGGAATTCTCTGTGTTGATACCCGTTGTAAATACCCTGCAGCCTTTCAAGAGCTGAAAATAACATTCAAGATGCAGAAATAGGAATTTGGGTTGCGAGACACTCATCTGTAGTGTGTGGGAGCATTGTAGGACACTGCAGTTAACAGAAGAAACCAATAAAACCCTTCTCTTTCTGTGCCCTAACCAGTATCCAGATGTATATTTTGTGAGAGGGCAGTGTTCCTTCACACAAGGGGTTTAAGAACATGTGCTCTGGAATACTCCACTGGTAAGCTCCAGCAAGGGCTTTTTGTACCAGGGCATAAATATCTCCTTCCATAAATTGCTCCCCAGTTAAAACCCTCATCCCACAGCAGTCTTTCCACACACCTGCAGCTCTTTCTTGTGGTTATGGTCATATTTTGGCTTCCTGTTTCCTGATAGCCTCTTCTCCTATTGCCTGTAACCTTGAAGGAACAGTAAAATAAAAATCTTAGGGTCTGTTTTCTCTACATGGCCGGTCATTTTCTTTCTTGCTCTGTTTTCTGTGTTTGTACAGGAGTGAGTTTCTCCTTAACTGGAGAAGTCCCTTCGTGGAGACTTGGAGACACTGGAGAAGTGTCGTAGGACACTTTGCAATTGCTTTGTTTTTGTGTGCAGTGATTCTCGTGCCTGCAGTCCACAAATGGAGATTCCCAAATGCACAGATAATAGTGTGTTCTGTATCTCCAGTTTCTAGCCAAACTGTAGTGGAGGTAAGGGGCTTGCCGTTACATGATTTTCAAATGTGTGCTTCCTTCAGCTGGAAAAAAAAATAGTCACAAACAGATCTATTTCCTTATTCGGGTGATTGTTGTGGTTTGAAAAATTCACCTGTGCTATTGCAAAGGCACCTCCAACAACAGATCCCTAGTGCTGAATCATTACGGACAGAGCAATCTCAGAACAGGTTGTGAGTCACACGCAGCTCTTGGGCACTAGGAAGCTGAAATCCACCATTATCCCACTTTCTAAGGTTTAGTGCTTTCCTGCAGTGCAAGTCCTCTAACCTTTAAAAAGGAAGTAGAGGCTACCTAGTTTTCTGAGAATATTAAGATTACATTGTGATTGTCACTACCCTGTTCCTTATTACTTTTAACAGTATGGAGGATATAATACTTCAGACTTTTGCCATAATGATTGGGAGCTGTTCCGTCTAAGGACATTTCCTCTGAGCACGAGGACTGAGCTGTAGGACACAGGAATTTGCTGTGTAACCAGACACCAGGAGAGAAGGTCACTGGCTCAGATGTGGGACGGAACAGGAGTGATACAGTGGGGAAGCTCCAAGTACCCTTGTGTGTTCCAATAAACGGCATTTACGATGAACTCGACCAGATGCAGCACAGTGCAGCCCATCTCTGTTACTGAGGAACAATTCATTTTCATGTTTGTTGAGCCTAAAGAAAGGCGCTTGAAGGGACTTCTGGTTGAGAACAGCATAATTTACAGTTGGGATGCAGGTCACTAGAGTCAGTTAAAATGATAAGAACTCCTTGTAAGGGGAAGTCCAGTTGTATTTCTAGGAATGCTGTTTTTCTTTCAGTATGAAACTCTTTAGTGCTCCGGGATCAGACACTACATCTGACTACATCAGAACCTTTCTCTGGCTTGACATAATTAAGCCTAGACTTTCTCTTCGTTTGTATACCTGTCTCGCTTCTCTACTAACATCGAATTCAGTGCATCTTCTTGAAATCTGTGTGTGTGTGTGTGTGTTGTTACGCTATGAAATGGCTAGAATTAATGAAAAATAGGTCACTACGTTGTTTTTTTGCTTGAGTCATAATTTATCGAGGCTCTGATTATACAGATTTGTTCCATGTGTTCTAAATTATTGTATTTTTTCCCCAGTTAGTACATATTTTTGGTTGCTTGAAATTACACTGCTTTAGCATTTGTCATGAAAGAGCTAAGTATCGACTGGACTGGAAAATGTTTGGTTCTTTCTTGCTATTTTATAGTCTAAATCTAAATACAGTATTTTTAGGGAAAGGGATAATGAAATAACCAGAAATGGAATTGAAATTCTGTATGGTTTGGTCTCTGTATTGCAAAACGTCTATTGCTGCTGCTCAATCAGTCCACAGACGAGTGCTCAGGTAGTCCTAGTCTGACAGGCTAGGTGAACCACGGGTGAGGAGCCCCAGTTCAGGGGCTCATACCTCTCGAAGTCAGCCCAACCCTCACACGAGAGGAAGTGAATTTAAAGTTGAGAACAGCAGACACCCTTCTCACGGAAAGGGTTGTGAGATTATGGAACGAACAGCCCAGGCTTGTTGTGGCAGCTGACACCCTGACGTCTTTCAAAAAACAGTAAGTGAATGACAGATCAGTTAGTGAATGGCACACAAACAAGATAGCCGCGCAGAATGGCCTGCTCTTGCTTGAATCTTTATGAAGGGAAGAGAAATCCCTGTAGGCAGAATGAATGCTTTTTTTGTACCAAATCTCCTTTGCCTGTTAAATAAAGCTTAGTGCACCATTTTATTCTTAATAGGCATCCTTAATTGACAGAGAGCATGTGCAAATATGATTTTGAAAAGAACAGTCACTCTTCATATCCTCTTTACCTATTTGCAAAACAGTGCTGTTTCGAAACGCAGTAAAAATAGGCTAGGGCTGTCATCATACTTCTCTGTTCTGATACAAGAACCTGGTTGTGAATTTTACTTCATTCCCCTGGCCAAATCCACAGGGGTGTGCTTTAGAAACCTTTGCAAAGTTGAATCTTATTTGCATTTTATTGTAGCCCTAAAGTGATTTGAAAGCTCCCAAAGTTCCATTGTGAAACTGAGCCCAGTAACTCTCCCAAATAGTTTTCAGTTTTCCTGAAGTTCTACTGCATTTATGAACTTACTTTGTATACAGTATCCAGGGCCAAGAACGCTACACTGGTTGCAGAGTCACAGTTAGCTGTAAAATGTAGAAATTTAAGAATAATTTTCTATTTCTTTTGTGTCCTTCACATTCTGAAAATACGAATACATGCATGTGCTGTACCTGTCCTGTGTTCTACTTCTGCGGTGTTTCTTTTTCAGAATTGAGAAATAGTTTAGAGCCCTTTTGTCTGCATGTAGTGTAAATGCAGCATGGATTTTATAAGATTCATCTTGGATCATAAATCCTCTTTTGTAGGATTGGACTTAACCTCCAGGGAAATACGGTCTATGCTCAGAAATTTGCAGCCAAGCCACTATATGGGAGTCTTGTTTCGGGTTGTCCTGACCAAGTCTTTGCATCAGTTGGGGGCCGGCAGGACATTAAAACTTCCCAGAATGATGTCAGGAGTGTTCTGCTTCCATTTACAGGGCTCGGTAACCAACAGCCAACGTTACCAGTCGTGTATTCCAATAAGGAACAAGTAATAGGTTTATTCCATGCTGAAAAAAAAAGAAGAAAGAGAACACAACGTTTCGGCCGTGGAGCCTTCTTCAGGTGTATTCCAATAAGCCCAGCTAACATCAAATGAAAGCATGAAAGAAGAAGTGAAAACTCGCGGTGTGAGCTTTTGAAAGTTAAGGTCCAGCCGTTTTAGTGTTTTAAAATGAATTTTAAATGATTGATCAAATGTAGTTTAGGGATGAGTGTTTTTAAGAAGGCAGTGTTGCCATTCCAGACAGACAGCTGACAGTCCTCATCTGGAGTTGCCTGCTGCCATATCGTTTCACAAAAGAGCCAACAGATGAGCTTGATTCTTCTCTCTCCGGCTCTAAATTGTCTCGTTTAAGCACGTCGGCCAACAGAAATGAGTAGCTTGTTCTGAAGTGCCACTGTTGGAAGTAATTGTTTTCGTTCTCATGCAAGCGTGCTTTTTACTGGCTTTACGGCAGTTTGTCGAAAGAACAAGCCTCTGACCAGAATGTGAATTGCACATCTGAAGATGCAAAAAAAAAACCGCCATCACCCAGCCACAAGGTGAAAAGGGCTGTGAACTGAGCGCTGGCCTGTGGTGGAGTGCCGCCTGAGAAAGTGAATCGGAGCTGGAGGAACAGCGAGGTGAAGCTTGTCAGATTAAGCCTGTAACAGACCTGTGGGGTAAATACTGGAAGTCATGGTGGCTTTGAGCTCCAAAAAAACAAAGACGGAGAAACTGGATGTGTGTTACTGTGCAAGCAGACGTTTTCCATTTTTCTACTCTTTTCGTTTTCTTTTCATAAGCAGAATTAGCAATGTGATTGATGCTTTCTCCTGAGCATGTGGTCCGCAGTTAATCCTGATAGATCTGTGTGTTGTATTGGAAGAACCTTTACCTTTCTGGCATCAACGATGTAACTGATACACCTGACCGGAAGGCACTTCATAATTCCTGCTCCTCTAATGCCTGTAGATCACTTTGAGTTATTGAGATCAGGGTTTTGAAGACTCTGATCAGTGCAAATTAAATGGTTGCTAGATGGCCGGATTGGTTTATTTTCAACCAAACAATAAATCTCAAAGCAGCTAACATAGTAAAATGTGCTAATAGAGGCATTGAGTGAAATTGTCCATGACCCTCAGCATTGGAGAGTCGAGTCACAACCAGGACGTAGAATATAGAAACCATACGTCCTAGATGTAACTTAAGAAGTCTACACAACTGATAATAATCGATATTGATGGGGAAGTTGTATTAAGTCTGAAAGCAATTTAACGCGTTCTGCTTCAAGGAGGAAAGCTGTGAATTGCGCAACTGTAAAGGAACTGAGAAAACTCACTAATTTATTAGATTGTCGTTGAAAACCTAACACATGTGCGCTTTCCATAGATGTGCAGTTTGATAGGAAAATGACACATGAGGGGAACCATCACACTGAGCTCTGAGTTCAAAAGCGTAGGTGGTCATCTGTTCAGGGGTGACCAGGGAGTGAAATCAGTGAAATCCACACTTACAGTAAAGAAGGATGAATAATATTGTTCACTCTGTATAGTACATGGTATTTTCCCAAACATTACTTGTACAGATATGGACAGCGATTTCAGTCCTTGAGTCTCAAGTGTTTTTTTTATTCCACTTGAATCTTTAACTTCCCTAGTTGAGCTGATTACCATCTTACATGACTCAATGTAACCCTTTTACAAAAGGCTTTACAAAATGACCAGCTCATTTGGCTTGTTTGTCACTGAATGGTGACTGATCCGAAGCTCTCATCCGACAGATCCTGGAAGGAAGCCAGGGGTGTCCCCATCAGCTAAATAGCTATACGTAGCTTAGGTCTGCAGCAGGTGTTCCAGACTCATCAAACCTGCTTCAAGAGAGTTGGAGTGTGGGACTTTTTTAAACACTTCCTATACTTAAAAAACGAGTTTTTTTGGGTCACTTTTTTTTTTTGTTCCTTTCGGTTTCATTTTTTTTTATAAACAGAAGCGTATTGCAGCCCTGCCCCTCTTCACACCTCTGTGAACCAGCTCAGCTAAGAGCTGATTTCCGCTGACTCCTGCCTTGGTCTCGATTAAGCAAAACCTGATCAGATTTAGCTCTTGCCCGAAGCCGCAGCATCCTGAAGAGTTTCGTGCCGTTTGTTTTTTTTTTCGGCTCTGCGGTCCGCGCTTGCGTTTTCAGCGACGCAGGGAGCCCGCGCGCTGTGAGGAAATGGGTGAGGTGTCGTCTGTCGTTCCATTTCGTTTTGGCTTTTGAGGTTTCTGAACGGGTGCCGCTGCCGTCTCGCCTAAAGAGAAACGGCCATCGTTTGAGAGTGAGCGCGTGTGACCTGCGCCACGCGCCCAGTTCATTAAAGCGTCTCATCTGCCCTCCGCACTTTTCTTCCTGTTACTCAGGGAAGGTGCTGGCTGCGGCTCTAGATTTCAAAGCTTAGCATACCCAGACCTGAAACTGGGAGCTGCAACCAAGAAGTTACTTGCCTGTTTCAACTGACTCTACTCTTTTAGTTTTAGTGCTGTGTTTTAGTGCTGTCTTCTGTGAGTTACCCTCTCTCCTCCTACCCCTCTCCCCCTGTCTCTGGGAGCAGGCTTGAGGAGGCTCAGCAGCGGTCAGCATGGCCCAGTGGAATCAGTTGCAGCAGCTGGACCCCAGATACCTGGAGCAGCTCTACCACCTCTACAGCGACAGCTTCCCCATGGAGCTGCGGCAGTTCCTCGCCCCCTGGATCGAGAGTCAGGACTGGTAAGGCGCGGGACTCCTAGTGCTGGCGCGGGGGCACTCGGGGACGGCAGCAGTCCAGGCCCTTTGGCAGC